AATTTTTAAATATACTGATGCCCTTCTGCCTGTTCTGATTTTGTTTAACTTTGGGATTTTGAATTAATTATAAAACCTTCATTCTGTGCAAGTTTCAGCTTGTAACCCCGACGCTCCTACAAAACTCATTTTTAGAAGGCTTTAATTGCGTTGGGCTACTAATTCTTATTAGGTACTTTTTTTTTCCTAGTAATCATACTCGATTATTTGTAGTTTTGATGATATATTTACAAAAGGTACCTAAAATAGTAATCAACTACTCAGTCATAACTACTTCATGTATTTTAACTACTTTTGCGTATTTTAATTACTTTTGTACAAGTTAACTGTGTACTTTGAAAAAATATTCAACTACTTTTCTATACCACGTGCTAAACAGTTAGAACAAGTTCTTGGAATTAGTTAAGCTGTGTTTAGAGCTTCCAGTAACCAGTAAGCGTTTGTTTTTATTGTTATAGATATTTTTTTGTAGGTACGGCACCAAACCCGGATGCATTTTTGTATCGAGCGTCCAGTAATCCGCATTCGGTGTACCCGATCTCGGCACGTATCAAGCGCACGGTAGTACGAAAATCACTCGGATTACCGTACGCTCGATACTCGCGCCTACAGTCACGAATATCTTTTTGACTTTCCCTGGCTCCTCGTCATCAAGCTACTTGATAATATTAGTTTAATTTTGGTTCTGATAGTCAAATCGTAAAGCAATTTTAATTCTAGTAGTTCACTAAGTGGAATGGCAAATAGCAAAAAACTTAAAGATTAATAAGATTTTGCTATTTGCCTAGTTATTTGATGCTGTCTCTAACAAACTATCCCAAACTAACCCTAAGGCTGTCCTTACCTTATCCTTTTGTTCAGCTCCAATTTGGGTTAGTTTTGTTACTTAGAGACAGCATCATAAATAATTATTTAAATCTGCCTGAATCTATTCTCCGCATTTGTCAAATAACGATTGCAGGTATACAAATGCTTATAGTCAACCATCCAAGGACCTTTTTTTTCAGTTATACATGTAAACCCCATACTTTGTGAGTGGCTTGCTTACATCAAGTCCTACAACTTTTCCTCTACGACTTTTCTCGGAAATGGCACGTATGCGCGCAGGCGACTCGCAAACATTTTAGGGGTATCGGACTCCCCCAATTTGCCATTATTTTTGTCGGCCAAGTTGATTTCCGTGATTTAGACATAAAAATCAAACAGTATTCGTAAAATTAGATTTACCTACATGTATCAGGAAACATAGCTACGTCAGATCGACATGTTTGCGAGTCGCCTGCGCGCATACGTGCCATTTCCGAGAAAAGTCGTAGAGGAAAAGTTGTAGGACTTGATGTAAGCAAGCCACTCACAAAGTATGGGGTTTACATGTATAACTGAAAAAAAAGGTCCTTGGATGGTTGACTACTAAGTAAATAGCAAAATCTTGTTAATTTTTACCTGCATTAAAAATTCAATTTTTAAATCGTTCTAACATATTTCAAAAAATAGGCATTTTTTTGGAGAAAAAAGTATACTGATGATAATGTCATTGGAAGAATGGCTAACACAATAATTCAAAAATCTTTTTGAACAACGGGAAAGTGGCCTATTCTACGGTTTTCTCGCCATGGTATTCTATTCATGGTAAGGTTATGTAGATAAAACATAATTTTGCTCTTACTTATTCACTTATAATTTTCTGGCCAGTCCATAATAAATGATGCAACAATTTAAAAAAAAAACTGAATTGTTGGACGCCGATCCATAATTTCGCAGGCCAAGTATCAAGCGTACGGTAGCTTGACAATCGATCGGGAAATCAGACGCTCGTTATGAGACAGACTTCAGTTTATACGACGTTACCCGAATGCGGTATACTGGGCGCTCGATACAAAAATGCAACCCGGATGGTTTGTAGTTGAAGAAGTAATTAAATTATTTACTACCTTGGTTTACTACTAAACTACTTAGTAGTTAGTAATATAAACTCACTTTCTAAGAAGTAGTTTAACTACAAAGTAGTCAGTAGTTATACTACACTACTTTTTTCAAGTAATCTGCCCAGGTTTGGTGCCGTAAAGTTATTGAAAATTTTGTTACGAAATTGCATTGGTGCCGGGTAGCCGACGACACTCTTACCACCCGAATCAGGAATGGTTTTGTATTGAAAGCGCGTAATAAGTTTTGCTCAGATTAAACAAGAGAATTTTAGAAGTTTTACTGATCCATGATGGATCACTCAGAAGTGGGATAATTAGTGAAATACACTGGCCAGCAAAATTAACGCACCACTACTATTTTTGGGAAATATTTTTTATTTCATAATATTTATCAAATATTTTTATGTCTTGATTAAATATATTCTTATTCTAACTTAATAAGGGTATTAACAAAAAATAAAATTCCAAAAGAAGATAAGAAAAAAAAAAACAAGAAAATTCAAAAAAAAATTTTTTTTAACTTTAGTTACAAATAATTAATAACCGGTATTTCCTCCTCTATTTTGAATAATAGCACGGCAGCGATTTTTCATGTTAAAATTACGGGCCTTATCTCGTTTTAATCCTAATTATTCCATATTTGGACAATATCTCCAGTAAGCCCATTCAATGTGTTAGAAGGGTAGGAAGTTCTTAAAAATGGCGATAGATCATGTCCCAGACATCCTCAATTGGGTTAAAATCAGAACTGTTTGCTAGCCAATCCATAGTTTCAATTCCAACCTCATTAAAATAGAAATAAGTAAGTGGTGCGTTAATTTTGCTGACCAGTGTAATAGGCTATTTCGCATCAATCAACCAGAGGATGAGCTCGACAGAAAGAACCTATAAATGTATCTTAGTTTTAGGATTAAATTCACCTATTCCATATACTTTTTTGCGAATAGAAGCTTCTAATTTTATTCAATAATTTTTTTTGAAAACGCACAACGATCGACTTAATTCGCAGTCAATGGCATTTATTGGGTGAAGATGCATGATGTCATACACACTTTATAAGGAGAATCCAATACGAGACTCAACCCACGTTATCAATGACGTATAAATTCTTGTAAAATGTTATGGACAGTGACTCTATAATATTATGTACAATCGATCTGAATCAGGAGGTAGGCAGATTTAAAAGACTGCATTTTTATTTTTTATATACCTGTTGAATGTAGCTGGGTCTTGTGATTCAAGTGTTGAACAGACTGTTTAGATTAGATTTTGTTTATGCGAAGCTCGTAAAAACGACCTTAGCCTAAAAACCGCAACAGGCCGCCGTGTGCATAAAATTATTATTATTTTCAATTTGCGCTTACCCCGTTTAAATTTAGAAAACCTATATTGATATTTTTAAAATAAATAATAAGGTTTTATTTGCGGTATTTATAGGGTAATTAATATAAGCTGTTTTGTCAAGCTGTTTACCATTGGAAATTGGAATTTTTTTGTTTTTGCAGTGTCACGTATCCGTCGAACTTTGTTTTTTTTTTTTAAATATCGTATGGCTTCAGAGTTTTTCTAAAATTAGGTACTTACCTAAATACAAAGTATGTATTGCTTCATTTAAGCATATTACCCAAACTTGCTTTGACTAAACCCTTGACCTTACGAATAGGAATAAATGTATACTTTAGTAGCTACGACATTATGCCAGCTTCTATAGGAGGTATCAATTAAATTTAATTTACATAATAATTCTTAATCACATGCAAAATTCACAATTCACGCTTTTGCTTACTTTATATAACCATCCTCAAATCCAATCTGATGATTCACTGAAATCAAATCTAATCAAATAGGCTTTATTGTAATAAATAAAATTTATTCTTGGATACAGAATGATAGGATAGAATACCTATTCAATAATACTAAAAATAATGAAAAAATAAAAACAGTCAAACAAACAATATGCATAAGTTACAGCTCAAATTTCTGCTAGCTGAGACAACTCCTGATTTCAAGTCATATTGCAGGTTTTTAATTTTGTTCTGAACACCGTCCTTGGTGAAAAGTTCCAACTTTCTGACTAATACCTAATAAGTACTAACCAATTTCTCTACGTACTTCTCATGTGCCATGTTCTAGCATTTTCTCGAATCTGGTTTCTTCTTCGCTGAAATTCTTAATTTGCCTAAAGCATTATTCTCGTCTTCGGGCTTCTTATTGTTTTTTTTATTGCATCTTCGATCTTACTGTTCTTTTAAATGTGCTGAAAGCCTGTCTTGTTCTTCTTGCCTTTGGGCTTGTTTCTCCTATGCCTTTCTTCCTGTTTTCGGTGTTCCTCTTCTTGTTTTTCTTGCCATTTACTGAGCTTTTCTTCGTCGTTTTCTTCCTTTTCCTTCTTTATTTTTTCAATGTTTTTCATGAAATCATACATTTCCTCTAATTTCGGCGATTTGCTGTCGAGCATTTACCATAAAATACTCTGGATTTTCAATATAAAGTCCGGTGGCGAAGTCAAATTCTTGTACCTTGTCTAATTTTTAATTAGAACCCGATGGAATGTTTTAGAAAAGTCAGAGTCACTCTGTAGAATTGTTTTTCAAAAACTAGTTTTAAGGTCACTATTCTACACTGTATGACTTCTGGTTTCCAAATAGAAAATTATGGAATCTTCTGGGAATTTTCGGGAACCCCGTTCTCTGGTGTCAAATTCTAAGTCACTTTTTCAGTTCAACAAAGTCCACTTATTGTTTCTACTAATAGTTCACTAAATTATCCTTTTAATTAGCTCAAATTAACTCATCCTGCCAATTACACTATTTTGCTCATTTTCATTAAAAGTACAATAAGTTTTTCGCAATGTAGCTTAAAATGGATTTAATTGATCTAAATGGAAACATTATTTTAATTTCAAAACTACTTGTCTCCAATAGTCTGAAATTAAAAATTAATTTGTGTACGATACACTATCCCTATACGAAATCCACAAACAAAGAGTTAAAAACAGGAGTAGAAAGCACTTAGAGTAGTAAGAGATATATGAATCTTGTCACTCTTAGCAAAGTTATTTTCTTTTGGTTCCAGGGAAACTATGGCAAAACCCAACCTGTTTCAAGCTCTAGAAGTTATTCCAGTGCCGCACCAGCTGGCAATTATGGTACCCCTGGAACCACTGAAGAAAAACGTCGCCCTGGAAATAGCAGCCTGCAAGAATTGGACACCTTGTTGGAGGATTTGAGTAACAGTAGATACGCCAACGTGCCAGGTAGAATTGTTTTTAAATGAAACCCTGCGCGTTGGTTAATTTCACATATTATTAGTTCCAGAAAACGGTGTGAATGGTTCAAATGCTGGGTACAACGACAGCTGCAGTGGTTCTGGCAACAGAAGTCCTGCCTATGCTAATTCCAGACCTTCTAGTGCGCAAAATAGCCTTAACCGACCTTCCAGCTCCCAAGGTGTCCATAATCGACCTTCTGTGGACGACTTGTTAGATGAACTAAATCAAAGGTGAGTTCATAACTTTATTTACAACTGTTTTCTGTTTTCAACTATATTGTCTTTTGGTTGTTTGCCAAATTAATGTTTTAAAATGGATGTTCTATAGTTTCGGATCATTAACCAATCATAATTTTCGAAATGTAGCTCGGACATGTACAACACGTACAAAATCTTGGCAAGATAAGCGGCGTTAACAGGTGCTACGACTGTTATTAATAGTTTTATCCATAATTGCACTTTTCTAGTTCTTCATTATTATTATTATTATTACCACCTACATTGTTTTTAACATTGACCTTCCATCATAGCAGGTTTATTGAATAAAAATTATACACTAACGATATGTCTGTATTAGGCAAGGCGATTCGAAATTTACTTATTAGCATAAGATCTGGGTGGATCTACCTACGATTTTAATAATAAATAATATCCACTTGATTGTGATAACTATTTCTCAGTGAGTAGTCAAGTGCGGTCGTGTTTAATTGTTTGCATTAATTATTTAATTAAAAATGGTGACAATTTGCGAATATGTTGTGGATTACTTTAGGTAGAACTAGATTCTAAAATAGCCAATGAAATATGTATTTGAATTGAAATTCTTTTTTCCAGTGATGTTATCTATGCCGGTCCGAAAAAAGTTGTGATAACCGTTAAAGAAACCAAAACTGAAACTGGTTTCCCTGGGGATACAGAATTGATATCTTCACATACTACAAGGGCTGCTTCTTCAGCTACCAGAGAACTTGACGATCTAATGGCTAGTTTGTCCAGCATAAAGGTAAGTTATTCTTTGATTTAATTTGAATTGAAATACATGGTTTACATTTCAAGTAAATTACCTACGGCATATTAATTAGATTAAGTGTGCATATATTTTTTTCAATGTCCTTGAAGCGAATTTTCAATTGAAAATAGACTTATGCCTTAACTGTTTTATGGTCAGCTAGTGCAATTTATTATTAGTCTTCAATTACTCAGATAGTGATTAGTTATTCGAGACAAGTAAATAAAAAATACAGATTGTAGTAAGTGCTTTCTTTGTAAAACTCAATGATTTATGTTTTGGCGACTTTTAGTTTTAGACAGCAAGATGTGCCAAATTTTAGCTGTCAGGAGTGTGTACAGTTACTTTGGGTTAATAGGTTTTTATTTAGAAAGTCAACAGAGTTTTTTTTCATTTAAGTTTCATAAAAAAAATCAATTAAGCTGTCTTTCTTATCCTACTTATTATTTCTGGAAATAGAAATATGAACATACAATGTCAGTTTTTTTTTAAATTGGACTTTTTTATTTTTATTTCTCATTTTAATAGATTTAGAGAAAAGTTTTAACTTGCGCAAACAAAGATTTCGTTTTTAATAAGTATTCACGAATTTGTATGGTGCTCGGTATGGTGCATAGTAAAAATATGCAAGTAAAAATATGCAAGTTAAAAATCCAACGAATGCCAAAATATTAGATCATTAATCAAAATACTAAAATGTATGTCTCTTTATTTAGCATGAACTCGGCTTGATACATATTGACCAATCGGAAATTAGCCTTTCAGCAGATAAACCATTGAGCAATTTTGGATCACGTTCAATGTTCATTATTTTTGAACTAATTGAGACATTATTGATACTTGGAAATCATATAAACAGGTGTTTCAAATTAATTTGTTTCATTCAATAATGTTTCAATATCAAATTCAAAATTGGTTTTATTGCATTTTTAGAAATGGCAGTTTGAAACTCAAAGATGCATAAAAATTATGTTTATTTATTTTTCGTTGCGCACTAGCTGCTCAAAATACAAGGTTCAGGAGGCAACAGGATTGGAGTCTTTTCCTATTAATTCTTATATTTGGGCCTCAAGGAGAGCAAGGAGATTGAATAAAAAATAAGATAAATAAAAAATCATCTATTTAATTTCAAATACAATGATAATATTGAACAAGGTCATTGGCTACATTTTGACCAATACGTTTCAGGTATACAGGATGTTCCATTGGAAATGTCAGAACAATATACTTTTTTTTTAAATGGAACAGACTGTATATGATCAGGTTCATTTTTGAATTCTTCAGAAAATTCTAGATCTTTTTCATGTATAAATATATTATTCTATACCTATCTTCAACTAAATATTTCCGAAAAAAAAAACGTTTAAAGTGAGCACTTGGTTATAACGAACGCTTTTTCAAATTCTTATAAAACCGATTATGTAATTATTTTTACCGTTTTATAGTAAACCTCGGATATAGACAACCAATTTTGATGCACTTCTTGGGTTCACCATATCCAGACTTCACTGTAATTGGGTACTGGTTTTATATTTAGTGAAAATATACAGGGTGTCCCAGAGAAAACAGTTCACCCCGATTTATTGGATTTGAAATGAAATCTGGGAAAACGCTCGGACACGTCGATTTTTATTTGAGGGGGAACTTTTTCATCCCCTTAGCTTCAACCCCCTAGCTAGGGGGAGAACAACCCGCCAAATTTGAATAGATTATAGGGGTCGTGTCATACGTCTTTTTAAAGGTCGAGTTCTTCATGGCCCTAGAATTTCGTCTTATTATTTTCATCCGTAACGAAATGACAGCTTGTCAAAATCTCGGAAATAGGCTATTGTTTTAGTGGGAGTAAAGGTGATACTTACCTCCCTGAATAAAAATACTTGAAATTGAAGTTTTTTTATCATTATTTTGTACACATGAATTGTAAATTGTGAGTATGTATTTTTATTAAGGGAAATAAGTACCGCTTTTACTCCTAGTAAAATAATAGTCTATTTCCAAGATTTTGACAAGTTGTCATTTCGTAACGGATAAAAATAATGAGACAAAATTCTAGGGTCATAAAGAACTCAATGAGACCTTCAAAAAGAGGCATGACACGACTCCTATCCCGTATTCAAATTTGGGGGATTGTTCTCCCCCTAGCTAGGGAGTTGAAGCTACGTGGATGGAAAAAATCAGAAATCGACGTGTACGAGCGTTTATCCAAATTTTAATTTCAAATCGAAAAAATTGGGGTGGACTGTTTTCCCTGGGACACCCTGTGTGTCCTCCAAAGTATTAATTCTGGTAGAAACAAGTTGTGGATGGGTTGACATGTTTGGTCAATTACATTTAAATAATAGTATATTGTGTATTTAGGTGGAAAAGTGACACATTCTCGGCCGACGGTGTAAGTTGACGGGCGAGGCCGGCAAACACCGAAGGCCGAGAATGTGCTTTTCCACCGAAATACTCATACTTTTTTGCGATCGGTTAAATACCTGTTAAATGTTTGTATTTGAGTTCCAATTATTCAGCAATACGAGAATCACTTTCCCGGCATAGGCCGGAAAAGTGTTTCAGGAAAATAAGTTTTTCTGCGATTGACAAGAAATGTCAGCATTTTTGACCGGTTTACAGGTCGCAAAACTCAATATTCTGGTATTTTAATTATATTCCAATAGTTGCTAAAGAATCAATGAATAACAATACGGGAAAGTGATTCTCGTACTGCTGAATAATTGGAACTAAAAGACAAACATTTAACAGGTATTTAACCGATCGCAGAAAAAAGAGTATGTGTATTTCGGTGGAAAAGCACATTCTCGGCCTTCGGCTTCGGCTACGCCTCGCCCGTCAACTTACACCGTCGGCCGAGAAAGTGTCACTTTTCCACCTAAATACACAATATACTATTTCTATTTAAATGGGCTACGTAGAACAAGAAAAATTTGACATTTTATAGTTCTACAGTATAATAAAAATAAGCGTTTAGCAAAACAAGGATACTATAGGCCGTAGGGCATACAGAAACTGTCACCAACTGAAAATACTTTTGCTGTTGTTTTGTTAAATCAACTGAAAAACTGAAGAACTTTACAGATAAAAAAAGCTGATGGTATCGTGAATAAAAATGAAGAGCTTAGACCCGGTTTATCCATCTTCAGACAAACTTGTTGGTAACTATCTGCAAGATAAATTTACAATTCTTCAATTTTATTAATCTTCGGATAACTGGCCGACCAATGGGATTACAAATTAAGGTTTTATCCGTCATGCCGGTTTTCCACTAAGGGGACAAAACAAAAACAAAATCTAAACGTAAACTTTTCCCGAACATTTTCAAGAGAAGCGTGTTTCGCAACAGTTGTAGTTTTGTTTTTCGAGTCCCGCTCGAGAAAACAAAACTGTGTTTGTTTCAGTTTTGTTTTTGTTTTAAAACATAGACAAAACACAAACTCAACAGTCCGTTTAGTGGAAAACCGGCATCAGATTGCATATCTGACAGGTTATCAGAAGGTGAATAAACCGTCCCTGGCAGTCCTTAATGTGTTATGTTTTCAAGCTAAAATGTTAACCTGATATCTTTATTTTTCTTTTAAAGGGGATCACAGAATACAAGTAGCTTAATTATAATTTATTTGTAGAAAATTCCACCCATTCCATTTCTACTACTAGCAAAATTTTAGTTATGAATTACTTTTTTTTGGAATTGCGAGAGCATTACTTCAAATGGCGGCGAGTGTGGTTTCATGTGTCTTTGAACTCCGGTGTCAAGTTGCCTTCATCGTCTGTTTTTTCCTTCATTATTTCGCTAGCCAAGGTCTTGACTGGGTACTGGGTTTCAGTTCTCGGGACTGCTTATCATTTTGTGCACGATTTTCTCTGGCGAGATGGACCCTATCTTGTTCGTGCTCCACGGTGCTCTAGTCAGTGCTTGCAATGAAAGAAGTTGTGTTGCACCGTGTCGGCCTCACCGCAGTATACACACTCGTCTGGCGTTTTTTTTTATTTGATGCGTGTATGCACGGAAACACCCGTGACCTGTTAGAAGCTGGGTCATAGACCGGTGCATAGCGACCATTTTTTTAAAACGATTTTCTCCCGTCTGCCATTAAGGGTGGTTATTCTTTAGGCAATGAGAAGTGGAATGGCTGAAATTTCAAAGAGCTCCGCGTGTGACATTACAATGATATGCTAATTTGAAAATGTAATGAAAAGTGAAGATTTGGATCAATATTATCCCGTCTGCCACACATTGTGAAGATAATTTAAACAAAAATGAGTAGAAGGAAGCTAAACGGCAGAAACCCTAGGTTAGTATAAAGTGTCATATAACTAATTTCAAAATGTCGCCAAAATCGGACATGTGGATCAACGACCTCCCGTCTGCCAAATTAAATTTATGTTGCATTTACGATTTAGAGATCAATAAGGATGTTGCGGAAATAACCCACAACAAGTTTAAAATGTTATTATTTGTAGTTTATCAATATAATCTCAATTTCTATTATTTATCATAAAAATAATATTCTAAAAAAAGATTCCTGTAAAACTGGCAACAGCAGCCCTTTTGAATCGGTAAAATTACAGATTTCTTCATTACCCTATGAGCAATGGATCTATTTTGTTGTTGTGATTGGTCAGTTGCCACCCAACATCCCTGATTTATGCGACCTGCTCCGAAAAAGGCAGTCGACTCGACGCACGGTACACAACAGTAGTAATCAAGAAGCAGAAGAGTAAGCAAAGACTCTGCACCCTCTCGCCTCTGAACGCTCTACAGAGGAAAAAAACCCCCAGAAAACCCCCGTTAGTACGCGAATTATAGTAAAATACTACTCCCAGTGTCTCAAGGCCTGACATGGCCTATATTATCAACGATATTATTGATTACAATTCATGTAATTAACCCCTAAATTGTTGCAAGTCATCTCGGACCTAGCAAAATTCTCTACTACGCCTGTTTAAGGTTATTCCTGTCTCACTCTCGACAGGCTTCAACTCTGTATATC